GAATAGAATTAATAGAAATTATGAAAAATAATACAATTATCTATTTTAAATATTTTCATTCGTTAAATAAATAATTTTAAATATTTTTTTTTTAATCCGTTATTTTTTTATTTTATTTATTCAAATATTTTCAACATCACTTCAATTTACTAATTTTTTATTATTTTTATAATATTTATTTAAATGAAGAATCGAATTCGAACTAGTTTGCTTTGGAGCTTTACACCTGATAAATTTGCAGATTAAACAATACTTCATAGTTAGAAATGACTTCATTATGAAAACTTTATAGGTATCAAAAACAATTTCATCATTATTGCAAGGATTTGATTGATTATTACTATTGGTATTATTGTAATTATTACTATTGTAATTGATATTATCTAGGTTATTTAATAAATCTGTGTAATTAAAAAAAATTAAATAAAAAATAATTTATCTTTTCAAAAACTAAAAAAAAAAAAAATTTTAAAATTTATTATTTCAAATTATAAAAAATTATTTCCATATTATTTTTTTAAAACCTCTACTTTTTTTCTATAACTCTATAAACATATATCTGTCTGAATATCCGTTTAGTGCTCTTATGTCGTTGATGTACATGTGGGGGTGACCAACTTAGCAAAAGGGAAATTCTTGTTTTATACATTTTATTTATTTATTTAATTCATTTTAGTTGATTTACTTTTCATTATTTAATTTTTTTTTTTTTTTCTTGTTATCTTCTGTTCTTTTCTTGGAAGAATGCATCTAATGTGATTTGCTTGTGTTATTTGTTTGGGGTTGTTTGATCTTTTGAGTTCCCTGATTGATCAGTTTGATTTACCTGTTTTTGAGTTGGTTGTACCTGTTTTTGAATTGTTTGTACTTGTTTTTCTTGATAAGGTTATGGTTGTGCTGAAATGACTGTTTTATTTGTTGGCTCTTAATTTAATTGCATATTTGTGAGTTGATTATCATTGATTTTCTTTGTCGAGTTTTTTTGTTGGATTGGATAATTAGTTCTACATTGCCAATTGAGTATGGGTTTGATATTGTTCCATATCCATTTTGTTCATTCCAAATTATACTTTATTTTATATTGTTAAATTTACCATTTAAAAATTGAATTGGTCTTAAAGTTTTCATTGGTAAAGAGCAGATGACCAAGCGTATAAATGTCGAAATCCTTTAATTCACTTGACCATCTGCACTGTTGCATTTGGGACCAACTTTTAAATATAATTTTAAATTTTTCGGAGACCTGATAAAAAATGAAACATCATTTATCATCGCTTGCTCGATTAGCTCAGTCGGCAGAGCGTGGTGCTAATAACGCCACGGTCGCAGGTTCGATCCCTGCATCGAGCAATATTTTTACCATTTTTCATAACCTACTGATATCTTCCACGTGATTTTTTTTAAAATCTCTTTTGAACAAAAAAGCTCCAGTTTGGATACATCTGCATTAAATACCTACAATTATACAGTTTTTACTTTAAAAAATCTTTTTACATTACATGTAATGTAAATGAACTTTTAAAGTATAAATAAAGATGACTAATTAATAGCTTTTGCTTTAAAAAATATTCACTTAATAAAAAAAAAAAATATTATCATCAAAATTCACTTAATTATAACTTAAATAGTAACCTAAAAAACGAATTGACCACAGATTACAGGCTCCCAAACTTATATGCAGTGTGGCAAACTCATACAAGTATAAAACTAAAAAAAAAAACATTTTAAAAAATATAAAAAAAATTTATATAATAGAGTTTATTCTTTAATTGACCTAATTATATTAATTAACCCCAAGTTTTATTTAACTGCTGATTATTGAATAACTATTTGTATTTAGTGTTGATTATTAATTATTAATGGGTAATACAACGTACACCACCGAAATCACCTAAAGATAAAGGTATAACCATTGATCCTGTATGTTCTTTTGGACATGCTATAAACATAAAATTCTTTGGAACCCCAAGTATAATTGATATTTTTTCAACTGTTGATGGTGTGAAATCTGCAAAAACTTTGATAAAATCTATTCGAATTTTTGGATAGCAACCATCTAAAAACTCGACATTCTGTGAGAAATTATCTATCGACTCACCTTGATCATCATAGCAATGGATAATTTTGACCCAGTTTGTTTGTTCGTTATCACGTATATAAAGAATGGCTTTATTTAAGTAAGCAGTATCATCTTTAGCGGCAAAGAAAACTATTGGTTGTGAGTTGATTTTTTTGATTGAGTCACCGATTGATCTAGCTACTCTTGCTTTTAATTGAGGAGACCACCAAATTACAATTTGTGAAAAGAATAAAACAACCTTTAATAAACGGGCACGAGTAAACATAACCATAATAACAAATATTGTTATAGAGAAATATATTCCAAAGTAAAACATAATTGAGGTATTTCTAATAATGTTTGCTATTAAACCTAAAAACACTGCTACTAAGCCCAACAACACACCTATCCATGGTGATTTAATTTCTCTTCGGAGTGATGAACGCTTGTATTTTAATAACATATTACCTATTGCAAAGAGGCCCATAACACCAAGAAAAGAAACAGCATAAACACCCTCCAATGTACTAGTCTGACCCTTTACAATTGCAAACAATGAAGAGCAAATTAAAAAGAATAGGATAATGATCCAATGGCATGTTTTTCTGAGTGGATTAACATTGATGAGGAACTGTGGTAAACAACGATCCAAAGCCATACGACGAACCAAACCAACGAAACCAACATAACTGGTAAGTACTGAGCCTGATAAAACTAAAACAGCATCGATAATAATCCAATAATGGAACCATTTTCCAAAAATCCTATCGGCTAATTGTGCTAAAACATCACTATTTGCATTTGCAATGCTACAAGTTGGTAAATAACAAAGAGCCAAAACACCAATTAATGGATTGAAGAATGTAACAATTGCCCACATATTTCTAAGAGTTTTTGGAAAAACACCTTTTTTTTGTTGTTCAATAAAATTTGATGAAGTTTCAAAACCGGTAACACCCAACATTGCAGAACCGAAACCGAAATAAATGCAATATGCAAAATCTTGACCCCAATAAAACTGTCTATCGCATGGTAATTGATCTGGACCTATTGGTATATCTGGGTTAACATCTTGATAGTTATTAATCAAAATAGTCCAGTCATGTTTATAAAAATATAAACCAAAACCACCAAATACTAATATGCATAGAGTTACCATATGAATAACAAAAATAATAAATGCTACAACTGCCGACTCTGTGATACCCATTAAATTTAATAAAGCAAAGAAACCTAATAATATAATAGTTGCCCAAAAAACATCCAAACCTTCCCAAAGACTATGTAAATATCCCATGGCTGATGACCCACTAACTACAGCTGTTGCAACATATGATATCATAGTTAATGCTGCTGCTACTGATGCAAATTGCTTTGAAGTTGTATTTAATAAAACATTATAGGCTCCTCCATTTAATGGTAATGCTGACCCAACCTCACCATATATCTATGATAATAATAATAATAATATAAAATTAATATTTAGAAAGATAAACTATTAACTATTATGATAACAAGACCTACTTTTCTAAATAAATATAATACTAAACAAACTATACTTAATGAGATCGGAGCATATTTACCAGCACTTAATGTACATGAACTTGCTGTATAAAAAATACTTGAAGTAATATCATTACCGCAAATTGCTGTTGCAAACAACTGGCCTATTTTGTGCTCACCAGAACCACCAATTTTTTTAACCTTTGCCTCTTCAGTTCCTGTTAAATCCATTTTCTCATTAGTTGTACCAACCAATATTTCACTCTTGCCACATGAACTAGATGTTGATGATAAAGGACTATTATAATTATGGTCGACCAAACTATTCGCGCTATTATTATTTCTAATTAATGGACTATTTTCTGAAATATTTTGATATGTTAAACTATTAAAACTATTATTTCCATTACTACTGCTTCCAACAATACCATTTTCACCTTGACCTATATCCAATATTGATGAACTTCCATGGCCTGGATACATAAATTCGAGAAGTGGATCACTTTCTGATCTACCCATTTTTTATTAGTAACTATTTATTATTAATGTTATTGTTTTTGTTATTGTTATTTATTTAAATTATTAATTATTATAAATATTTTAAAAAATGGGAACTATGAACTAAAAATTAAAAAATTAAAAAAAATAAAAAAAGAAAAAGTAATTTAAAATTACTTGTATGTAAAATAAATGATTTTGTGTATATAAAACATTATCCCTCTTTCTGTTATGAAGGAAGATAGGATAAAAAAAAAAATGGAAACTATAAAAACAAACACACAACAAACCTACACATAAATATATAAACAAATTATTTTTTTTAAAAATATATAAATAAAGAAAAAAAAATTTATGTTTGATGGATGTTATTGGTGTTTATGTCAAACCCGTCAATTTTTTTTTTTTTTTTTTGATTTCTTGGTGAGAGCACACAAAAAATTTTAAAAAATTTAAATTTTTTTTAAAAAAAATAAAAAATAAAAAAATATAAATAAAATATGAAAAGTTATTTAATTATTATTAATAAAACTAATATTATTATTAATGATAAAGTTTTGTATTACTTTATAATAATTATTATTGTTTATATTATTATTAAAAATGCTTTTTCCTTGTTCGATCATTAATATTTATTTTGTGTATATATAAAATATTTAAAAAAAAAAAAAAAAAAAAAGAAAAAATCCCCACAATTTATTTTTTTTATATATTGTTATTTTATTTTTAAATGTATTATGTTTTACGTACATGTATTAATTAATTTACACTATTTATAACATATAAACATAATATATCAACATATCAGAATCTTTAAATCGGTGTCCATGGACTTAAAAATTAAAAATATTAAAAATTAAAATATAAAAAAATAAAATTATTTATTTTTTAAATTATTATTATAATAATGATAACAAATAATTTAAAATTATCTATATTCCTTTTTTTTTTTTTTACTAGTTATTATAAATAAAAAATATAAACAACAAATTAATTTCTTAAAAAAAAAATTAAAAATTTTTCAAAATGTGGTTATACCCCACAGATAGACAATTAATAAACTAAAAAAAAAAAAAAAAAAAAATAAAATAAAATTTTGATCTGGACTTTTTTTTATTTTTATTGACTAATCTAAGTAAAATTAGATTTTATTGTGTAATAATGGTGAAATACAGAGACAACTTTAAAAATAATAATAATATAAACAAAAATAGTAATTCACCAATGTAATTTTTTTTTTGATCAAAAAAAAAAAAAAAAAAAAAAAAAAAAAAAAAAATTTTTTAAATTTTTAAATTTTTTTTTTTAAAAAATAATTTTTTTCATTTTTTTTTTTTTTTATTTTTTTATTTTTTTTCGTTTTCAGTATTTATTTATTTTATATATTTCATTTTTTACTTTTTTTCATATTCTTTATTTTTATTGATTAAAATAGGAAATTAATTAAAAAAAAAAAGAAAGAAAAGAAAAAGAAAAAAAATGTTTAAATTAGTTAATAACACTTTTAAAGGTGTTGTAAAAGCTAATAATATAAATTTATTAAGTCAACAATTTAATAAAATTTCAATCAACAACAACTGTACATATAAAAATAATGATAAAAGATTTTATTCAGCACAAAACCCAAATGAAGACTCAAAGATTGGATATTTAACAAGTGAAAGTAATTTAAAAAAGGTTCTCGATGAAGGATATCACCAAAATTTAAAGACAAAAGAAGATTATGTTAAATTGATTGAACAAGAAACCATCGCTAAAAAACCAGACACCCAATATGATTATACAGTAAGAACAGCAATTCCAAGACCAGAAGCTGATGAAATGTATTCACACCCATTCACTAAATATGACATTGGTGACAATCTTATAAAATCACAATTACCAAAGAGTGACTACATTGATAACTCATTACTTGCCGACACAATGGTATTTAAGCCATTCAACCCAAAAAGACCATTTTTAGAAGAACCTTTAGTTATTGATGGTGTTTCAAGCGGTTATTCAAAGAGAAAGAGAAGTCGTGCCGTTGCTAAAATTAAATTAGGTAGTGGTAAATTAACAATCAATGGTCGTACTTTAGCAGATTATTTCCCACCCATCTCTTTCAGAGATGCCGTACTCCAACCATTAGTTATCACCGAAACCATCGTTAAATGGGATGTCGATATTCACGTTTTTGGTGGTGGTCTTAAAGGTCAAGCCGAAGCTGCCCGTCGTGCTCTTGGTTTAGCTCTCGTAGCTTTTGATCTCGGTTATAGACCAGCTCTTAAAGCTTCTGGTGTTCTCAAAGCTGATGCTCGTAAAGTCGAAAGAAAGAAACCAGGTCAACTCAAAGCCAGAAAGAAGTTCCCATTGGTCAAACGTTAAAAATATATTATATATACATCATCAAATTTATTTTATATACAAATTATTTTTTTTCTTCAACCACCACCACCACCACAATCACCAATCTTTTTTCAAAAATTTTTCGCTATCATTTTAAAACAATAAATAATTAATAATAATAACAGCAATAATGATAATTAGTAATAACAATTATATTATATAAAAAAGAAAAATCAGTATATAATATATTTAATAAATTTAATAATAATAAAAAGCAAATAAAAAAAATAAAAAATAAAAAAAAAATAAAATAAAATAAAAAATTTTTAAAAAAAATAACAATATTTATTTGTTTTCCTTTTATATCACCATAAAATATTGGTTGTGTGTTAGAAAATCAAAATTAATATTTTTAATTAATACAAAAAAAATGTACATTGAGGTATAAATTCGTGGTGGGTGCAAAAATCACTCTTTTTTATATTATTTTTTTTTGTTTTTTTTTTTGTTTTTTTATCACAAATCTTTTTTTATTTAGGGGGAGGGGGTTCTTTTCTATATACTGGCATTGTTTTTGATTAATTTATCATGACGATAGGTTGAGTTTATTCTAAATAATATTTTTAATTTTACAAAATAGGAATCAAATTTAGTTGGTTAAATTTTATGATTACCCTTTTTGAATAAATTAAAATTTGTTTCTAAATTTTGATAGATATAATATGGAAAAAATTCATTTTTTATTTTTATGATTAATTATTTTTACAAAATATACAAAAAAAAATAAATTTGATTTAATTTGATTTAATTTGATTTAATTTATTGTTTTTTATTACTTTTTATTGCTTTTATTTCTTCTATTTAAACAACAACAAAAAAAAATAATTACCATTTTATTCATTGACCAAAAAATGACAATTATTAGTAAGTAATAAATTAAAAAAAAAAAAAAAACCAAAAAACCAAAAAACCAAAAAAATATATTTGGTTTATAAATTAAACAAGTTTATTAATATATTTATTTTTTTTTATTTTTTTATAAACTAGATTCTCTCCAAAATCTAAACTCTCTTGATAATAAAAAATACCTAAAGTCTACAAGAAGCCAGCAAGCCGCAGCCTCTAATCTCGATGTAAATAGTTTGCCCCAAGTTGGTAATAACTCAGTTGCCATGTCAGCTCCAGAATGGGTCGCAACAAGAATCTGTGGACTTGGCTAACTATAGTTTTGTCATAATGTTCCGTGTGGACGTGTTGTGCTTTTAAAAATAAAAAAAAATAATAAAAATAAAAATAAAATTCAAATAATTATTATTTGAATTAAATTCTCATTTTTTATATTACCCCCGTCGATCATGACTTGTTTTAAGTTTTTTAATATATAAATATTAATAAAATGAGATAAGAAAATTCTTTTTAAAAATTTATTTTTTTTAAATTTATTTTATTTTTTTTTATTTTTTATTTTTTATTTTTTTTTTTTTTAAATTTTTAAAAAAAAATTAAAAAAAAAAAAAATAATAATATTAATAATTATTTTTTTATTTTGTGTGTTTATTTTTTAACATTATTATTTTTTTTAATATAGTTTTATTTTGTTTATAATTAATAATAAATAGAGATTTTAAACATATAAATAAAGGTTATTCTACTTTTTTTTTTTTTTTTTTTTTCCAATAATTTAATAGTATATTTGGTGTAGATTATAGTTTAACGATACACTTTTTATTTAATTTTTTGTATAATATATTAAAATACCTATTCACATAAGCTACACATTATATAGTAATAATAATAATAGTACGTAGTAAAATTTTATAAAATGGATAATTTTGAAAGAACAGAACAAAATTTTCAACATGTTTGCAATACATTAACAAGAAGAATTAAACAGTTACCAAATTTTGGTGGTGAAAGGAAAAAGGTTGCAATTAGAGAAGCTGAGACCGATATAGATGAAGCTTTAAGATATGTTAGTATAGATTTTGTTCATTCGTTCGTTTTTTTCATTTTTTTTATATTAACACTCAACTCTATTATTAGATTTCAGAAATGGAAAAAATAGCACAGAATCATTCACAAAGAGTAAGATTACAAGCTAAAGTTAAACAATATCAACAAGACATCCAAAAATATAAAAGAGAGTTACAATTAGCACAAAATACATCATCAAATTCAGTAAATAATCCATTTTTATCAGGTCCAGAGGATTACCAAGTAAATATCATTTATCATAAAAAGAAAAAAAAAAAGAAAAAAAAAAAGATATTAATATAATTTTATTATAGTCACAATATGACAACCAAAGACAGCATTTATTATCAGGTAGTAACATGTTAGACTCAACATCAGATAGATTATTAAGAACTCATCAAATTTCAGAACAAAATCAACAAATTGGAGAAAATATTTTAATGGATTTAGGTAAACAAGGCCAACAACTTAGAGGAATGAGAGATAAACTAGATGAAACCGATGATAATATAAAGTCAGCAAGAAAAATTATGACTGGTATGGCCAGAAGACTAGCAACCAATAAAGTTATTTTATCATTTATTATTCTTTTATTACTAGGTATCATCGCTTTGATTATTTGTCTTAAATGGTTAAGATAATCAAGCATTAAAATTTAAATATATAATAAAAACCAAACCAAAACCTTTTTTTATAAATACACAAACAAGAACCAAAACTATCATTATAAATTTGTATAGATTCAAAAAATAATACTAAAGATATAGTTTTTTTTTTTAAAAACATTATTTTTGTAAATATTAAAACTTTATTTTTTATTTTATTATAAATAAAAAAATCTTTCAGAAAATGTATTGGATACTAGTATATATAATTGATAATTATTATTGTTATGATTTGTAGTCGTTTATTCATCGTCTAATGGTGAAACATTTTTTCTTTTTTTAATTACTTTTAAATTATCAATAATTGATGCATCATCTTCGCATATGGTAATGTCTTTTGGTGGTTGATTTGTATTTTCTTCTTCGTCAATTATGAAATCATCGTGATCTTTTTGTTTTGATTGGGCCATGGCAATTGACTTCCTGGCTCTAGCGGATCTACTTGATCTATCGAAAAAGTTTAATGAGTTGCTGCCAAATAAAGATAGTTCTAATTTCATTAGTTTTTGTTTGAAACCATCATTGACGGTAAGGTCTTTTGGACTAACACTTGAAACATGGTTAAATGATTTTTCTAAATTCCATTTTAGTTTGGTCATTAAATAAGCAATAACGATGGTTGGTGATCTACTTCTTCCTTGTTTACAATGAATTAACACATTTGATGTTCCATCATCTTCGCCAATGATAAATTTAATTGCTTCATCAAAATAGTTTTCAATTTTTGATCTTGAGCTGTCTGCAATTGGAATTCTAAAATATTTAATATCGAGTTTAATTTCTTCGTTGGTTGGTGTTGATGTGCCACTAGTAATGGTGGTGGAGGTGATGGTGGCTATTGGTGTGTCATCTGTTTGGGAGGTTTCAACATTCATAGTTTCAATATTGTTTTGTACTTTTTCTACCTGTTTATTGACTTCATCATCTTTATTATTTTCATCAATTTCCATTTTTTCTTCATTGTCTTTTTCTTCAATTGGTTTCATTTCGTTGTCTTGTTCTTTATCTTCGCCCTGATCAATATTAAAGTCATCTCCATCATCTACTTCAATATCTTCGATTTCTTCGTCATCGTCCTCGATTTCTTCATCTTCAATTTCATCATCGAGATCTTCATCGTCATCTACAATAAAACTGTCAACATTCTTTTTGGAGTTTCCTATTAAAATTTCCTCATCAGCGGTTTTATCTTTTTTATTGATATAGTAAGATGGCACTTCTGAAGTTACATTAACAATCTTTTTAATATTAGCTTCTTGTAGCCATTCAGCATTTTTAGCGGCTAAAAAGGAACCCAAATATAAATATGGAGCAATTTCGACACCTTTTGTAATCTTTTCTTGAAGAGCAAGATATTCTTCCCATTCTCTTTCTTCTCTTGCTCTCTTTTCGGCCTCTCTCCTCTTTCTGGCCTCTGCTTTTAACTTTAGTAATTTCTTTCTCTTCTCTTCTAACAGTTGTCTTTCTTTTTCTTGTCTTTCTTGTTCCTTTCTTTCTTCTTCTTCTCTATCAGCGGCCTCTTTTTCAAATAAATATTTATATGATGGTTTATCATCACCACCAGATTGGAAGAAATGACTTACAAGTGTTTGTTGTAGTTTTGGATCACTAATTGTAGTATTTGGTTTTGATGAAGTGTTATTTGCTCCTGTTTTATTTGTGGTAGTTGATGGTGCACTTGGTGCAGCGGTGGTTGTAGTTGGGGTAGTCTTTGAAGAGTCTGGTTTTTTTTTTTTATCAGTTGTTTCATTTTTTTTTATATCTTTCTTTTCTTCTTGTTTTTTATCACTTGGTGTCTCTACAACTTTTTCTTCTTTTTTCTCGACTAAAGATGGTTCGTCTTTTTTATCAACTGATTCATCCTTCTTTTCTTTTTTATCTTTTTTCTTTTCTACTTTTTTATTTTCCTTTTTTTTTTCTTCTTTCTTTTTTTCTTTCTTTTCTTCTTTCTTTTCCTCTTTCTTTTCCTCTTTCTTTTCTTCTTTTTTAATTATATTATTTGATTTTCCATTTAAATCTTTATTTTCTTTATTTTCATCATCTTTTTTTGTTTGAATGAATCCAGGATTAATTGATTGTTTAATAACAAATTTATCCATTTATATTGTAATATGTTGTAAATAATAATATAAATAAAACAAAAATAAAAAAGAAATATAGTTTTAAAAAAAAAAAATAATTAATTTAAAAAAAAAAATTAAAAAAAAAAAAAAAAAGAGAGGTAAAAATTTTTATAAGAAAAAATAAATTTAGGTAAAAAAAAAGAAAGATTTTTATTGTTTGAAATTTAGTGTTTAAATAAATTAATATGGTGATCTATTATTATAACCTAATTCAACTAAAAATTGTTCAAACTTTTTAAAAGCATCGCATTGAACAGCCTCAACTGGTAATGAATTGACGAAATCAATAAGACGATCCCTGAATATCTTTTCACCATCTTTTAGTAGACAGTCAAACCTTTTTTCCATTAAATGATTGGTATTCTTTATACATATAGTTGAAAGGTATTCTAAAAATATTTCTTGCTTTCTTGCACATGCAGCAATGGTGTCAAAACTTGAACTGTTATCGAAATAAAGTAAATCCAATTCATTACCCCAGATTTCATTCATTAATTCATTCTTTTGAATAAATAAAGCGGTACCAAATTTCTTTTTTTGTCTATCACCGTTTTCACTACTTGTTACTCTCTTTACTGCAGACATGATTTGATAAAAGTTGTCATCTAATAAACTGAAGCCTACAAAAAGTAAATGTTTGGTAATGAGTAATGCTTGAACTATTCCAGAAAGAGCTTCGTTTTTGTCACCATATCTAATGTAGTCCTCTCTAGTAATTATGATATCTTTGGGATTTGATACACAACCATGTAATTTTAAAATCCATCTTTTATTTCTGCTAACAGAGTTATATGGTAAAATAGAACAATCTTTACCTATGGATCTACTTGCAATTTCAAAACATTGATCATAATTTGTTGTAATAATTTCTTGAACTGGTGTCGATGCTAATAAAAAGTGTGGTAAACCAGCATGTGATACTGTCATTAAATTTGCAATTTCAGTTTGCATTGGAACATTAATTTCACTATAAATCTTTTGAATCTTTTCTATATTTTCATTATTTCCAGTGTTTAATTCATTCCTTAAATCTCGGAAATATTCTTCTTGTTCTTTATCAAAATAACTAATATCTATATTTTTTGATTTTCTATTATTATTATTATCATTATTAACTGATATGCTATTATTTTTATTTTTATTGTTACTTTTATTATCCCTGGTATCCTTTTTATCTTTTTTATCTTTACTATTATTTTTATTTTTATTTTTATTTTTATTATTTTCATTATTATTATTATTATTATTATTATTATTATTATTATTATTATTATTTTTTTTTTTTTTATATAAAATGTTTAAATTTAGGTCCTCATCGACAGTTGGATTTGATTTAATGTTTTCTGATAAATATTTTTGTAATGCTCTTTTCCATCTTGTTTCTAAAACTGTTGCACGATCCAAATGATGTAATTGCTCCATTAATTGAATTTCCTGTTCACTCATACCAATCTTTTGACCCAACATATGCAGTAAACCTGTCCATGTTGGTAAACCAGCTGACCTTGACGCACCTGCGCCTAAAAAAATTGCCAATTTATTTTCTTCCAACATTTTAGATAACTGAACAGCCTTATTCATAATTTCTTCACCTAAAAGATTATCGTATAAATAAGAGAATGTTGGGTTTGAATCCATCATGTCCTTTCTTATATCTCTTGCAGCGGTATACATTGAAATTTCATTGGTTACCAAAACAACATCGTATTTCCACTTTCTTGCAGCAACATATAGTTCATTCATTAGCATCTTTAAAATTTCACCTGCTATACCTCCACCACCACCGCCACCTGTTCCTAAAATTGGTAAACTAACAAGATATTTTGCTCTATTGTTTTTGATGGGTGGTTGGTTGGCGTTTAAATCCTCTCCAACTTTATCTAAAAAATCGATTGCACCTTTAATATACCATGCTGGGCCTTTATTCCTTTTGAACGGGACTACATTGCATAACCAAGGTTGCGATATATTTGGATATTGGGTTGGCCAGTGTTTAATTTTATAGACTCTATCTTTACCATCTCTAAAATCAATTACTAAATTTTGGAATTTATTCTAATAATCAAAAAATTAATAAGATGCACAAAAAAAGTATATATTTTTTTTAAAATAAATTTACTTACTCTAATATTGCTTGGGAATACCGACCAATCAGCCTTTAACCAATGATTGATTGTATGTAAAAAATAAACATTATGGCTGCACGGTACCATTCTGATATCCGACACTAACTTTGTTAAATCTCCGTATAATAAAAACACATGACCATCATCTGCTGATGGAGGTGGTAAAATACTTGGTCTAAAATCTTCTTCTTCTTTTAAATACTCCATTAGATTCTTATAATATTCGCTTGTACCACTTGTCTGTGAAGATCCACTATTAATAGTTACAGATTCTTTGGATGTTGGAATTTTCTTCTTCTGAAATCTTAATTTTTCCGTTAAATTTGATTTCATTTTATCAAAACCCTGTTTTTCTTTTGTTGGTGGAGGTGGAGGTGGATTTGGTGGTGTAATTACAGTATCATTAGTAGATGTAGGTGTTATTTTATCACTACTCTTTTTTAAACTCTTTTTAATATTTGTAAATAAATTTGAAATATTTGAACTATTATTTTTATTATTATTATTATTGGTATTGGTATTATTATTTATTGTAGTTGTTGCTGAGGCTTCTTCAGTTGTTATATTAAGTTTTGTAAAAGTGGTTTTGTTTTCACCAATATTTGTTGGTTGAGGTGGTGTTATTTCTATGGATGTGTTAGCTTCATCATTTTTATTTTGATCTAATTTATCTGCACCATCTGGCTCATCATTTTCTTTGGAGTCTAAATCTAGTGCGCCAATCTTTCTTACAATTTCTAGAGTAGAGAAATTACCAAACTGTGGACTTTGAGCCTTTGGAGAAATAGTTAAAAATGGTGAATTAATCGATGGAGATGAATCTACTGAGATATTTACATTTGTTGATTCTCTCGACTCGCTTAATGTTGACATTGTTGTGTTTGTAGATGAGGATGACAAAGATGAGGATGATCTTAATTGTGATGCATTTTCATTATCTTCGATGATGGTTTCTTCATCAGTGGTGCTTTCTTCGTCATTTCTATTTGGTGCATACCCGAACTCTCTCATAGAGTGCTCCCTAAATTTAAGCACAAAATGCTCTGGTGGTGCCTCATCTTCACTACTGCTACTACTTGAACTACTATCATCTTTTTCATCAAATTCTGAAAATTCAATTTCACCACTACTAATGATTCTTTCTGTTGATTTAAATAATGGTTTTTCGGGTGTAACTGCTAAAAATGCTCTTTCATCATCATTGATATCATCGCCACCATCCTGTGTTTTCTTAATTTCATCTAAATTCCTTAGATGTTTAGTTAATGGGAACATCTTTATATTTTTTTGTGAAGGCTGTGAAAGCAGTGGGGGTGTACTAGATGTTTGTTCTTGAGAGGTATTAGTTGATCTAATTTTACTATTTTCATTATTTTTGTTTTCATTATTAACATCAGTATTACTGTTACTATTAATATTATTATTATTATTTTCACCTTTTTTTATTGCGGATATTTCTTCAATATTGACCGTTTCCATGTTATTCTCGATTTTTTCATTTTTACTGTTTGTATCATTATTATTATTATTATTATTATTATTATTATTATTATTATTATTATTATTATTATTATTATTATTATTACTGTTGGTATTATTGTTTATTTGGTTATCCATTTAATTGAAACAAAATAATTTAAATGATTAAAATAAAAAAAATAAAAAAAAAAAGTTTTGTTTTAATTTTTTAAAAAATTTTAAAAAATTTTAAAAAAATTTTAAAAAATTTAAAAAATTAATTTAAAAAAAAATAAAAAACAATAACCGATTTTAAAATAAATATTGAAAAAAGAAAGATATTATTGATTATACCAAATTTACAATAAAAAAGAAAAAAACTTTCTTTTAAAGTTAAATATAAAATTTACATATTAAATTGTTTTTTAAAAAATATAAAAATGAATTTTTGGTAAAATATCTTGTTTTTTTTTTTTTTGTTTTTTTTTTGTTTTTTTTTTTTCAAAATATGCGAATAACGAAATATTGAAAAAAATCATTACAATTATTTATAAAAGTGGTTTTCAAAAAAAAAAAAATTTTTTTTTTTTTTTTTTTATTTCCCTCGTATAAATTGTTTATATTGGTTATATTTCAGTTTTTTTTTTAAAAGTGGTAATTAATATCCTTTAGATATTTAGGGAACCCATACCATTTAATCAAAATATTTATTTTAATTTTAATTATTTTTTAATTTTTTAATTGTTTTTTTTTTAAAGAGTTTTTTTTTATTTTTTTTTATTTTTTCTTTTTTTTCTTATAAATTATTTATTTGTTTATATATTTATTTGTTTATTTAAAAAAAAAAGAAAATGGGAATAAAAAAAAATATTATTTCCTTTTCACTATTTATTTATTTAATATGTATTTTTAGTTTTTCAACAGTAAAATCCGAAAATGTATTGGGTGAAATCGAAATATCAGAAACTTATTCCATTGATTCAAGTGCTTTAAATGTAAGAATATTTTAGTTATTTTTTTAATAATTATTTTTTTAAAATATTAATAATTTTTTTCAGGGTAACTTTTATTATAAATCCGATTCAAGTATAACAAAACCAAAGTTAGTTGTTACATTGTTAAAAGGTGAAGTTGATGATATCACTGATATTGCCAGAGAAAATAAAGATAAAAACTCAGTTTCTTTTGGTGATTTTACTCATATTTCATCAACCAATCAAGTTAATGTTATTGGAATCAAGAGTATTATTGCAATGGCAATTGGTTTATTATCACTTGGCTTTATTTCAAAAAAATCACATGGAGGCAATGTTTCATATATTGTATTTGGTGTTGTATTTGTAGGAATGGTTTTAATTGGAGTTTCAAATTCATTAACAATTTCAGATATTTCAGTTAAAGTTGAAATTACTGTACCAACAAATTTTAAATTTGAATCATTGACCTTAAAAGTAGGTTCAGGTTCATCTAATATTGTTGGTTTATTTTCAAAATCAATTAAAGTCGATGCTTGTTCAACCAATTCAATCGATAAACATCAAGTAGCTTTAGATTATTTATCAATTTCCTCATCATTGGATATTTGTAGTAATGGCAATATTAATATTTACAATTTAATACTACTAGATAAAAGTAGCATTACTTTAGAAACAACTTCAGATATTAATTTAAATTTTTATGTATGTATATTTAATTTTAATTGTTTATTTAATTGTTTATTTTTTAATTAATATTTATTAATTCTTTTATACCTTTTTTTTTTTTTATTATAAATTTAAAGAATGGTTTCACTGGTTCAGTTAATATTAATTCTACCAAATTAAATATTGATAGTGGATGTGATTTAAATACCAATGGAAGAATTTCTAATGGCATTTGTAAAAATGGTGATGCTTCACAATTAGTTATCAAAAATTCAAACACTGCAAGTATTAAAAATGTAGCCGAAACTTGCCCAGTAGATCCAAAATGGAGACCAACTCCAGCATCAGGTTCAATATCTTCACCACCAATATCTACTACTCAAGATGCAGTCGATACTAAATATAATGGAGCTGACTTTTCTTTCATGGGTCTATATGGCTATTCAGATAAAAGTATTCTTGCTGGTCCAATTCCAAACTCATTTACATTATTTTTTGAATCTTGGGGTCCAGAATCAAACTGGCTCGTATCAAAGATCCCAACACCAGTTCTCAGAAAGAATATAAACTATCAATTATCATTCGGTTTCAAACTTGCCTTACCTCTCTTTGAATATAATAATGTTTCAAATATTACAGTTTCTTTTTATAATATTGGTGACATCCCAGATCCAAATAGTAGTGATAGATATTTCATCGACTATGAAAATCCAGATCCAATCTACACTAAAGTTTTTAGTTCTTCTCTTGGTGACTTTACCTCCTCGACTGAATTTAAGCAAAATAAATTCACTTTTAATCCATCAGTAGATATTGGTAGATCTATATTTGCAATCAGAATTAATAAAACCGAATTGGGTGGACCAGATGGCCATGTTGTTTCCATCTCTGATTTGAAATTAACAATCCCATCAAAAACTATTACAACTCCAACTCTTTTAAATAAAGATTCAGAATTAATTACAATCGGTAAACCATCAACATCACTCGAACCACAAGACCCATCAACATGTCCATATTTAGCAAATGATATTGTTCACTGGCATGATCTTTCAATTTGGGGCGGTTCACCTCCATCTCCATTATCTGAAATAACTTTACCAGCTAATAAAAAAGTGCTAATCTCACAATGTTCAATTTCACAAGATAATATCTACAAGAAAATTATAATCCCAGCAACATCAGAGTTAATTTTTGCTGATTCAAATATAACAATGCATGTTCAAGATATTTATGTCCAAGGTAAATTAACAATGGGAACAAAAACTTGTCGTTATAATTCATATATCAACATTATTTTCCATGGCTCAAAGACTACCTCTGATACCATTGCTCAATACTATGGCAGTAAGGGTATTGCTGTTGCTTCTGGTGGTTTTATTAGTGTTCAAGGTAAACAATATCATTATACCTGGACCAAATTAGCAGCAACTGCTTGGTCTGGTGATAATGTAATCTACATTCAAGATTCTGTCAATTGGGAGGTAGGTCAACAAGTTGTAATTACAACTAGTATCTATGAAGATTTAATCGAAAACCAAAATGAAGTTAAAACCATTTTGGCTATTGATGGAAAGAGAATTCAATTTACTGAACCATTACAATTTTATCATTATGGTGGTCAAGAGTATCAAGCTGAAGTTGGTTTACTTTCAAGAAGAATAGTTTTCAGAGGCGATGATGATTCATCAAGTAAAGATCAATTTGGTGGCCATGTTTTAGTCAATGGCGAAGGTCAGTTTAGTGGTCTTCAATTAATTAAAATGGGTCAAACAAATATTAAAGCTCGTTATCCACTTCATTTCCATTTAGCAAATGAAGTAAAGAACTCTTATATTACTGATTGTTCCGTTGTTCATTCTTTCTATAGGTAATTATGCATTATTTTAAAATAAAAAATATTAATATTATGTTTAAATATACTAATTTAATAATTATAGATGCTATACTATACATGGAACTAATAATTTAACAGTCGAAAGAAATGTTGCTTTCAATGCTACCGGTCATTGTTATTATTTAGAAGATGGTGTTGAGCAATTTAATAGAATTAACTATAATTTGGGTGCATATGTACATACAATTGGTCCACCAGCCGCAGGTGCTGAACAAACAGGTCAAATCTTTACTCAAAATGATGGTCTTACACAACCAGCTGATTCAGCTGCTGGTTGCTTCTATATCACCAATGCTTGGAATGATTTTATTGGTAATGCTGCAAGTGGTGGTTGGACTGGTTTCGCTTTTCCAAATTTGGGTAGGTTATTATTAATATCACTTTAAAATCGTAAACGATTTATTAATATAAATATATTTTTTAAAACTATAGATAGACCAATTGGTAATCATCGTAATATTGATATGGTTCCAAAACAATTTGCTATTAAAACTTTTGAAGGAAATACAGCACATTCTAGTGGATATTTCGTAAGTAAATTTAATTATTATTTTTTTTAAAAACGCCTCATTAATTAATTTTTTTTAAAAAAAATTCATATTATAGTGGTCATCAGGTTCATCTATTTATGTTGGTGCAAATTTAACTGTAATTGATAGTTCAACTGGTTTACTTCAATATAACAGTGGTCGTTTCGCAAGATCAACCTATAAAGATGGAATTGCAGATGAAAAAAACGAAGTTTGGATGAGATATAATAATACAAAGATTTATTTATCAAATCGTGGTGTTGGTCATTGGGGTGAACGTGTCGAAGTTGTTGGATTGGAAGCTTATGATTCAAATCGTCCAGGTACATTATTTGGTGATGCATGGTTAGATACAGCTATTGTCAATGGTCAAACAGGCAGTTTAGTCTCAAAATCAAGAACAGGTAGACAAGGTTTCCAATTTTATGATACCTATGTACAAACTATTCTTTCAAATGTTGTTTTTAGAAACTTTTATAAATTGAACAGCGCCGATAGTCCAGAAACTGATAATAGAGTCATTATTAGTATGACCCATAGGTAAGTTTCACTTATTTTTTTTTTCTTTTATATTTCTTTTTTATTAATTAGTTTTTTTATTTTATAGCGATGTCTTCAAGCCACAAGGTATTTCAGCTACAATCAAGCTTAAAACTGAAAATGTTGCATCATCTCAAATCATTGGCCATAGAGCTGTTAATACTGGTAGCTCTCGTTACTTTAATCTCATTGATTGGGATGGCTCAATTAGTGGTTTAAAAGTCCCATCTTTAATTGGTAGTCACGATGCTTGGTGGAATTTCGACTCTACTTGTAAATACAACACTGATTGGTATTGCTATGTTTGTGAAAAGGGTGATAAAGAAATTGCTAATCTCCAATTTTGGATACCAAACTTTATTGACCGTGACACTGAATGGCCTGCTGATTCATATGTCGGAAATATCTCATTGTTTGGTAGTGGTATTACCGATAAAAGAATGACTGCAGTTACCAAAAATGCTGGTGTGACTGGTGTTTCAAATATGGGTTGGTATTTACATCTCACTACAGGAACTCCATCACAAATGACCATTTGGGTTGCACAAGTAATATATGGTAATTATGTATTCTTAGCAATTCCATACCCAGCAGGAACCAGTTTCACATCAATTATCTTCAAAAATAAATACGTTAACACTTATGATACTACATATACAGTAGCAATCTCAGCAGCAGCAGTTAGAAGTGGTAATGGAAAAACCTATTTCTTTGACGGTACAAATCTTTACTTAAAAGTAGTTAACCATGCTCTAAAAGGTACCGAATACTTTGAAAGAGCTGGAGTTCGTGTCTACGATGTAGTTTGGGAAAATACAATTACTATTCAAACAACAAATACTCAATCTGCTCCAGTTAAAGGTTTTTACAAAGTTTCAGATTTTGTATTACCATCATCTTCTCTTTAATAAATAAAACTATTTGTTTAAAAGAACTAATTTATCTTTACTTTGTTTAAAATAATTTGTATTAAAGAATTTAATTTATTTTTACTTTATTTATCTTAAAATTTTATTAATATTATTTTTATTATTTTAAGCTTTTAATAAACTAATTTTTTTATTTTAGGCTTGTTGTGGTGGTAATTGTTGTTTAGCAATCTTGTTAACTTCAGAACGGAAGAGAATTAAACTTTGGTCATAAGCTGAACCAGTTACAGTCTCATTGGCAAATGGATCCATGATAGTTGAACGAAGAACTGGGATATCAATAACATCTTTTGGAGCATTGGTAATACCAATTCTCTTGACAATATCGTTAATGAAGGTGGTACCATAGATGTATGAGAAGCTGGTATTTGAGAATACTAAATCTAATTCGGTCATGTTCTTTTCTTTGATGTAGTCGAATCTTTCGTATACTTGATTATTGAATTTACGATATTTTTCATAATCAGTGTTCCAAGTACCATCAACATTCTTGAAATTCATACCCCAACAAATAATGTTAACATCTGGTCCAATTTCAGCTAAAGCTTGAACTAAGAGTTTATCTTTACAGATTTCATCTGAGCCAATCATTGAGCCATCTTCTTTGATTAATTTAGATTTGAAGTATTCTAATTTAGCCTTGGTTGGTGGGATTGGAACACCAATTACATTGAAGCTATCGGTACCATCACATAACCATAATAATCTGAGGTAGAAGAGTCTTGTGTTTAATAAGGTTCTCTTAAGAATTTGACCATAACCTGATTTTGAAGTACGTAAGATTGCATGACTGAGATAACAACTGACAGCAGCTGAACCTGGTTTACTACCTTCAATACCATAGATACCAACACTAGCACCACTTGATCCACCAATATAAGTGGCAGAGTAGACTAAGCAATCTCTGTATCTTTGATTACGGTAACCAACTGAACCACATGGGTATGGGATATAACCAGCCTATTTTTAAATAAAATATTTTAATTAATACATATAAAATAAAAATAAAAAATTAAAGTAATAAAACCAATTAATTACCTTGTGTGGATCGGCAGTAACGGTTTCACAATGTTTGAGATTTTTAAATTGTTCTTTGACATATTTGCTGGCAAAATGTTTTGGATCGGTAGTATTCATATCATCCATATAGGTTGATGGAGCTTTTTTACCCTTACCTGGATTAATAACATCATTGAATGGATCTTCAAGAACATAATCTTCTACTAAGATACTTCTGTAATAGAAACCCCAAGCACTATCGACATGGATATCGAATGATAAGCCTTTTAAGTTTAATTCTTCTCTTAATTTGATAACTTCGGTAATTGGATCAACAGCGGTTTCTTCAGTGGTACCAAGGACACAGGTTACATTGATGACTGGGATTTTGTGGTTAATACAGCTTTCTAAGTTGGCTCTTAATGCTTGAACATCCATTCTAGTATGAATATCGACTGGGATATGAATGAGAGCATCACCACCTAAACCTAAGAGTGCAGCAGCTTTTGGAATTGAATAATGAGCTGAACCTGGAGCATACATAACTGGATCTCTGAGATTATGTTCTACAAAGAATTTTCTAACACCAATATTAGATGGATGGTATTTCTTTAAGATGAAAGTAACTTCAGATGGATCAATGTTGCATAATTCAGCAACTTTGTATGGGAGACCAACACTATCATCTGGTTTAATGTTTGAAGCTTCCCATGAAGTTAATAATGAGAGTTTTTTGCTTTTACCATTGGCTAAAACAACTTCGACTTCTTTGGCTAAAGCTAAAGTTTCTTCATGTTGAATTGCTGATTTAAGAGCTAATGGAATAAATTTAGCCCAATATGAAGCCCAAAAAGCTTCACTGTTGGCAACTGAACCACCTGATGTTAAATGGAAACTTGGTAAAATATAATCTCTTTATAATTTAAAATAAAACTAAATTAACATTTTTTCTTGCTGTTGTTTAATATATACTATTAAAACTTACTTTTTAATTTCACTTTTGCTCTTTGCACCAAGGGATACTACCTTTGGGTCAACCTTTGGGAATTCAAAACCAGCCATACGACAGAGATCATTACCTTTTGTTTAAAAATAAAAGAAATTGTTAATATGTTTTATAGATATTTTTGATATTAATTTAAAAATTTTACTTACCAACAGCCATTTCAACATAAGTGGTGACTGGTGATGCTTGAACAGTAACATTGTTTGGGTTATAAAGAATAGTTGCGATTGTACCAATAACTGAACCAATAGTAACATCCTATATATTAAAAAATTAGTTAATAATAAATTTAAAAAAATTTAGATGGTCATAAAAACTTACACTACACATATGGCCTTGATATCTTAAAGATGAAAATGGTAATGATTTCTTGAGGAAATTAACAACCATGTCAGTTTTTTGTTTCATATCTTCTGAAGCAGCAATATAAGTTGGGTCTTTTTTGAAATTCTCTTCGAAAATTGGTGAATCAGTTGGGTGGAAATCTTTACGTGAATCAACATGGCCTTTAATAGCTCTGCTAACGAGATCGGTGAATAAATCATAATTTTCAGCTTTTGGACCCAAGAACCAAGCTATATATTTTTTAATAAAAAAATAAACAATTAGTAAACAGTTATTATAAATAAATTATTGTATATTTTAAAATTACCTTTTGGTGAGAACTCTACTGTTGGACCTTGGAGTGGTGGGAGTAATGATCTAAACTCATCAAATGTTGGTTGAAGGTTAGCTGGAATAACTTTATGTGGATCCATTATTATTATTATTATTTGTTAATATTATTAGTAAACTATAATCTGTGGAAAAAAAAAAAAAATTAAATTTTTTTAAACCATTTATATAATTTTTTTTTTTTCAATCAAAAAAAATAATTTAAAATTAAAAATTATTATAATTATTGATTGTAATTCCAACCAATAGAAATTTAAAAAAAAGTAAACTGATATGTTGGGGCAAATACATATCAGTTTACTTTTTTTAAAAAAAAAAGAGATTTTAATTTAAAAAAAAAAATTTAAAAAAAAAAACCAATGTTTTTTTTTTATTTTGGGGGAAGTTATTTTTTTTTTTAAAAATGGGGGGAATAATTGTGTTTTAATGTAAAAAAATATAAAAATATCTTTTTTTGAACAACACAATCAAAAGAGTTGGCGCAGGAGATTGATGTATAAAAAATCAAAATAATAAAAAAAAAAAAAAAAAACCCTTTGAATAATTTTTTTTCAATAAAAAAATTATTATTGATTGTAATTTCCTATAAAAAAGAGATTTTTATTTTGAGAAAGCTTTAACCAATAGAAATTTTATTATTAAATAGTTAGGGAAAATTATGGAAAGATTAATTTTTCAAAAGATTAAATAATCATTATTATTATTATTATTACTTATTTATTTATTTGCTAAACAATTCCATTGTAATTTTTTTTTATCACCCGAGTACAAAGCAGTATGAATATGTTTGATTCCAATCTAAATCAATTGAATTATATTGAATCTTGTGTTTGTTGAAATGAGGAAAAATTAGATCTTTGGGCCTAAAGTTATTCTTTAAATTTGAACTGGGAAATTCCTAGGACTTGAATTTTCAATAGTGTCACTATTCAAAGGGGAAGGAGCTCCTATTGAAAGTAACAGTGGCAAACTTTTGGGGAGCTACCAAAAGTAAATCATGTTATTCAAAAATTCTTTTTTTTTGCAACAAAAATTTATTTTCTCAACAATTTTTTTTTTTTTTTTGAAATTATTCAATGAATAGTTAATATAAACATATAATAAAGATTAAATAAATTATATTTATAAAACAAACAAAATAATAATTTATAAGAACGGAAACCTTTTGGAGTTTCAAATAAAAATAAAATAAAATAAAATAAAAAAATTAAAAAAAAATAAAAAAAAAAATAAAAAAAGATTTTTTTTTCAACTGTTGCTCCACCAAAATTTTTTCTTGTTTTTATTTTCTCTTGATATTTCAAACACTTTTTTTTTTTTTTTTTTTTTAAATTTTTCAAAATTATTTATTATAATTAAATTAAATCATTATTGTTGTATTTATTATAATTAGTTTAAATAATTACACATTGTTTAATATCTTTTATAAATTTTTTTCAATTGTTTTTATTTTTTTATTTTTTTTATTTTTATATTAAACCTAAAATAATTGAATAATTTAATATAGAATGTCAAAACATGCAAAATTAATTCAAGGAGAAGATAGTGAAGAAGAAGAGGATTCATATGAAATTGATGAAATACCACAAAATGAAGGATCAGAGGGGGAATATGAAGAGGTTGAGGAACAGATTGAATATGAAGATGGGAATATATCAGATTGTAATAAAAATGATGATCAAGATATAGGAGAACCATTGGAAGAAGAGGAATACTATGAAGAAGAGTATAATGAAGAGGAAGAAGAGTATAATGAAGAGGAAGAAGAGTATAATGAAGAGGAGCTGGCATTGGGTTTGGATCTTTTTTATATAGCAGTACCAAACAAAGATAATATACAACAAGAAGAAGAAAAAGAATTATTTATTGAAAATCAAATATCACCAGATCTAACTATAAACGCTGCATCTGATCACCAAATAAATATTGATTTAGAACAAAATAAAATAAATCAAGATCAAGAAAAATTAGCACAAGAGCATTTGGTACAAAAAGAAAATGAAAGATTAGAAAAGGAATCTTTAGAGCGAGAAGAAGCAGATCGTATCGAAAAAGAAAGACAAGAAAAGGAACGAATTGAACAGGAAAGATTGGAGGCAGAGCTTATAGAAAAAGAAAGATTGGAGGCTGAACGTATCGAAAAAGAAAGATTAGAAAAAGAAAGACTAGAGGCCGAACGTATCGAAAAAGAAAGATTAGAAAAAGAAAGACTAGAGGCTGAACGTATCGAAAAAGAAAGATTAGAAAAAGAAGAAAATGAACGTATTGAAAAAGAAAGATTGGAGGCCGAACGTATCGAAAAAGAAAGATTAGAAAAAGAAAGACTAGAGGCCGAACGTATCGAAAAAGAAAGATTAGAAAAAGAAAGACTAGAGGCTGAACGTATCGAAAAAGAAAGATTAGAAAAAGAAGAAAATGAACGTATTGAAAAAGAAAGATTGGAGGCCGAGCGTATCGAAAAAGAAAGATTAGAAAAAGAAAGATTAGAAAAAGAAGAAAATGAACGTATTGAAAAAGAAAGATTGGAGGCCGAACGTATCGAAAAAGAAAGATTAGAAAAAGAAAGACTAGAGGCCGAACGTATTGAACAAAAAAGATTAGAGGCCGAACGTATTGAAAAAGAAAGATTAGAGGCCGAACGTATTGAAAAAGAAAGATTAGAGGCTGAACGTATTGACAAGAAAGATTGGAAAAAGAAGAAAATGATCGTATTGAAAAAGAAAGATTAGAGGCCGAGCGTATCGAAAAAGAAAGATTAGAAGCCGAACGTATTGACCAAGAAAGATTGGAAAAAGAAGAAAATGATCGTATTGAAAAAGAAAGATTAGAGGCCGAACGTATCGAAAAGGAAAGACTGGATGCTGAACGTATCGAACAAGAAAGATTAGAGACCGAACGTATCGAAAAAGAAAGATTAGAGGCCGAACGTGTTGAACAGGATAGATTAGAGGCCGAGCGTATTGAAAAAGAAAGATTAGAAAATGAAAGATTAGAAAAAGAAAGATTAGAAAAAGAAAGACTAGAAGCTGAGCTTTTCGAAAAAAATGAAGCAGATAGAATTGAAAAAGAAAGATTAGAGGCTGAACGTATAGAAAAAGAAAGATTGGATGCTGAACGTATCGAACAAGAAAGATTAGAGGCCGAACGTATTGAAAAAGAAAGATTAGAGGCCGAACGATTAGAAAATGAACGTATTGAAAAAGAAAGATTAGAGCTGGAAAGATTAGAACTAAAAAGATTAGAACAAGAAAGACTAGAGGCCGAACGTATG